CATCAGGTCTGTAACGTCTGGGTCTGGTCCATCAGGTCTGTAACGTCTGGGTCTGGTCTATCAGGTCTGTAACGTCTGGGTCTGGTCCATCAGGTCTGTAACGTCTGGGTCTGGTCCATCAGGTCTGTAACGTCTGGGTCTGGTCCATCAGGTCTGTAACGTCTGGGTCTGGTCCATCAGGTCTGTAACGTCTGGGTCTGGTCCATCAGGTCTGTAACGTCTGGGTCTGGTCCATCAGGTCTGTAACGTCTGGGTCTGGTCCATCAGGTCTGTAACGTCTGGGTCTGGTCCATCAGGTCTGTAACGTCTGGGTCTGGTCTATCAGGTCTGTAACGTCTGGGTCTGGTCTATCAGGTCTGTAACGTCTGGGTCTGGTCCATCAGGTCTGTAACGTCTGGGTCTGGTCCATCAGGTCTGTAACGTCTGGGTCTGGTCCATCAGGTCTGTAACGTCTGGGTCTGGTCTATCAGGTCTGTAACGTCTGGGTCTGGTCTATCAGGTCTGTAACGTCTGGGTCTGGTCTATCAGGTCTGTAACGTCTGGGTCTGGTCCATCAGGTCTGTAACGTCTGGGTCTGGTCCATCAGGTCTGTAACGTCTGGGTCTGGTCTATCAGGTCTGTAACGTCTGGGTCTGGTCTATCAGGTCTGTAACGTCTGGGTCTGGTCTATCAGGTCTGTAACGTCTGGGTCTGGTCCATCAGGTCTGTAACGTCTGGGTCTGGTCCATCAGGTCTGTAACGTCTGGGGTCTGGTCCATCAGGTCTGTAACGTCTGGGTCTGGTCCATCAGGTCTGTAACGTCTGGGTCTGGTCCATCAGGTCTGTAACGTCTGGGTCTGGTCCATCAGGTCTGTAACGTCTGGGTCTGGTCCATCAGGTCTGTAACGTCTGGGTCTGGTCCATCAGGTCTGTAACGTCTGGGTCTGGTCCATCAGGTCTGTAACGTCTGGGTCTGGTCCATCAGGTCTGTAACGTCTGGGTCTGGTCCATCAGGTCTGTAACGTCTGGGTCTGGTCCATCAGGTCTGTAACGTCTGGGTCTGGTCCATCAGGTCTGTAACGTCTGGGTCTGGTCTATCAGGTCTGTAACGTCTGGGTCTGGTCCATCAGGTCTGTAACGTCTGGGTCTGGTCCATCAGGTCTGTAACGTCTGGGTCTGGTCCATCAGGTCTGTAACGTCTGGGTCTGGTCCATCAGGTCTGTAACGTCTGGGTCTGGTCCATCAGGTCTGTAACGTCTGGGTCTGGTCCATCAGGTCTGTAACGTCTGGGTCTGGTCCATCAGGTCTGTAACGTCTGGGTCTGGTCTATCAGGTCTGTAACGTCTGGGTCTGGTCCATCAGGTCTGTAACGTCTGGGTCTGGTCCATCAGGTCTGTAACGTCTGGGTCTGGTCCATCAGGTCTGTAACGTCTGGGTCTGGTCCATCATCAGGTCTGTAACGTCTGGGTCTGGTCCATCAGGTCTGTAACGTCTGGGTCTGGTCCATCAGGTCTGTAACGTCTGGGTCTGGTCTATCAGGTCTGTAACGTCTGGGTCTGGTCCATCAGGTCTGTAACGTCTGGGTCTGGTCCATCAGGTCTGTAACGTCTGGGTCTGGTCCATCAGGTCTGTAACGTCTGGGTCTGGTCCATCAGGTCTGTAACGTCTGGGTCTGGTCTATCAGGTCTGTAACGTCTGGGTCTGGTCCATCAGGTCTGTAACGTCTGGGTCTGGTCCATCAGGTCTGTAACGTCTGGGTCTGGTCCATCAGGTCTGTAACGTCTGGGTCTGGTCCATCAGGTCTGTAACGTCTGGGTCTGGTCCATCAGGTCTGTAACGTCTGGGTCTGGTCCATCAGGTCTGTAACGTCTGGGTCTGGTCCATCAGGTCTGTAACGTCTGGGTCTGGTCTATCAGGTCTGTAACGTCTGGGTCTGGTCCATCAGGTCTGTAACGTCTGGGTCTGGTCCATCAGGTCTGTAACGTCTGGGTCTGGTCCATCATCAGGTCTGTAACGTCTGGGTCTGGTCCATCATCAGGTCTGTAACGTCTGGGTCTGGTCTATCAGGTCTGTAACGTCTGGGTCTGGTCCATCAGGTCTGTAACGTCTGGGTCTGGTCCATCAGGTCTGTAACGTCTGGGTCTGGTCCATCAGGTCTGTAACGTCTGGGTCTGGTCCATCAGGTCTGTAACGTCTGGGTCTGGTCCATCAGGTCTGTAACGTCTGGGTCTGGTCCATCAGGTCTGTAACGTCTGGGTCTGGTCCATCAGGTCTGTAACGTCTGGGTCTGGTCCATCAGGTCTGTAACGTCTGGGTCTGGTCCATCAGGTCTGTAACGTCTGGGTCTGGTCTATCAGGTCTGTAACGTCTGGGTCTGGTCCATCAGGTCTGTAACGTCTGGGTCTGGTCCATCAGGTCTGTAACGTCTGGGTCTGGTCCATCAGGTCTGTAACGTCTGGGTCTGGTCCATCAGGTCTGTAACGTCTGGGTCTGGTCCATCAGGTCTGTAACGTCTGGGTCTGGTCCATCAGGTCTGTAACGTCTGGGTCTGGTCCATCAGGTCTGTAACGTCTGGGTCTGGTCCATCAGGTCTGTAACGTCTGGGTCTGGTCCATCAGGTCTGTAACGTCTGGGTCTGGTCCATCAGGTCTGTAACGTCTGGGTCTGGTCCCTGTGGTAGAAATTACAATCGGTTGAATTTCATCCGACCAATCAGAGAGCGCGGGAGGCGGGTGTTGTAGTTAGATGTGAGTGACATCAGAGTTTGTGTCGAACGAGCAGGTCGTAGTTTGGTGAAGAATGTGATATTATATAAACTTATCACAGTATATATACAATATAAACTTATCACAGTATATATACAATATAAACTTATCACAGTATATATACTATATAAACTTATCACAGTATATATACAATATAAACTTATCACAGTATATATATTATATAAACTTATCACAGTATATATACAATATAAACTTATCACAGTATATATACTATATAAACTTATCACAGTATATATACAATATAAACTTATCACAGTATATATACTATATAAACTTATCACAGTATATATACAATATAAACTTATCACAGTATATATACTATATAAACTTATCACAGTATATATACAATATAAACTTATCACAGTATATATACTATATAAACTTATCACAGTATATATACAATATAAACTTATCACAGTATATATACTATATAAACTTATCACAGTATATATATTATATAAACTTATCACAGTATATATATTATATAAACTTATCACAGTATATATACTATATAAACTTATCACAGTATATATACTATATAAACTTATCACAGTATATATATTATATAAACTTATCACAGTTTTATAATAACAGCTGAAGAGTGAACCGTATAAAACAGATATATATAAAACTATAAACATAATTACTGGGTTAGGATTCCTACAAATGTTTGTTTTGGTTAATTCTGATTTTATTTCATCTCTCACTTTAATTTAGAAGTATTTAAAACAGTCATGTTTAACTGTGTCTGAAAATAAAGAATATAAAAAATGATAATCACTGGGAACTATAAAAAAGAAACTAAAATATAATACTAATATATATATATAAATAATATATATATTAGTATAGAACAGTATAAGTCCTGGGTTTAAGAGTGACTAAAATCCAGTCTCAAGATATGGTTTCAATTTAGGAAGCAGTTTGGATTTTCTGATCCTTCTTCTCTTACTCCTTTGTTGAGAAATCATGTGTTTAAACCTACGTTTACTGACTGTTTTTTCCACATGGCATGAAAGAGGGCTGAAGTGTTTTAAGGACTTTTATAAAGATAGTGTGTTTTATTCATTTATAGATTTGGCACAGTCATTTGGTCTTCCACCCTCTCATCTTTTTAGGTATTTTCAGGTGAGAAATTGTGCAAAACTTTTATTTCCTGGCTTCCCACAACTTCCACCTGAGCAAGCCTGGGCCGAGCTTATTCTATTAGACCATTCTCAAAAGTCTCAGATTTCAAAAATATATGGCAAAATGCAAATTTACGATGGTAACCTGATCTCCAAAACTAGGGTGTCCTGGGAACGGGAGTTGGGTCTGGCCCTCGATGATGACTGGTGGGACTCATCCATAAAAGTACTATTTGTGCCCGCTTGTCTTTGATTCAGTTTAAAGTTTTGTTTAGATGTCACTACTCAAAGACAAGACTGGCCCAAATATTCCCATCCACTGTGGATGTTTGTGACAGGTGTGGTATGTCCCCCTGTAATCTCACCCACATGTTTGTCTCTTGCTCAGCACTCACAAACTATTGGCAGGTTTATTTTGATAGTTTATCCAAAGTCCTCTCTAAAACAGTTGCTTTTTCGCCTCATGTGGCTATTTTCGGTCTTCCAGAAAACCTTTCCATTTATTCATCCTTGCAATTACAGGTTTTATCATTTACATCTCTTATTGCCATATTCTGTTACAATGGAAATCTGTAAATGCCCCATCCAACACTTAATGGATGAACGAGGTTATGTCTTTTTTGAAACTGGAAAAGATACGATACTTCAGGAAGGGTGAAGTAAACAAATTCTTTGAAAAATGGCAGCCTTTTATCTACTTTTTTAAATCTTATGCCCCCCCCCCCTTTCTATTTTTATTTATATATATTTTTATTTTATTTATTTATTATTATTATTATTATTTTTTTTTGTGTTGTCGTTGCTCTTTTATAAAAATAAGGAAAATATGTATGCAACATGTTATGTATGATTGTTTTCTCTTGTACTTGTTCACACTTCAATAAAACATATTAAACATAAGAGTGACTAAAATGAGCTAAAATCCCCTTTTCTGGCTCTAATGTTCTTTTTAAAGAGATATGAATAATATTTGGAGAGACTCAGACTTTTAAAGATGGTGTTCAGAGAAGCAGTCGTTCCTTGGTCTTAATGAGACCAAATGTATTTCCTCGACTGCGTTACAGAAACATATATATCTATACGTTTAGTTTGGCCTCCTCCCGCTCACCGTCCGTCTCTGGCGAGGGCGAACTCCACGCCGTGGCGCTGGAACGGCATCAGTCGCTGCAGGAGTTTGAGCGGGAGCCCCGACAGTCGCCGAGACCATCTTGTTTCACAGTCGGGGGTCTCCGAGTCATTAGCATCTGTTTCCATTAGCGAGTCCTCAGCCGCGGTCGGCAGCGTCTGTGTCGAGGCAAAGACACACAATTAAAAGAACATTACAACGAGAAAATCATTCAAAAGGTTTATCCAATTCACAACACAGATCAGGCCAGTCCCTGTGCTCCTCAGAGTCCCTGTGCTCCTCAGAGTCCCTGTGCTCCTCAGAGTCCCTGTGCTCCTCAGAGTCCCTGTGCTCCTCAGAGTCCCAGCAGGAGGCCAGTCCCTGTGCTCCTCAGAGTCCCAGCAGGAGGCCAGTCCCTGTGCTCCTCAGAGTCCCAGCAGGAGGCCAGTCCCTGTGCTCCTCAGAGTCCCAGCAGGAGGCCAGTCCCTGTGCTCCTCAGAGTCCCAGCAGGAGGCCAGTCCCTGTGCTCCTCAGAGTCCCAGCAGGAGGCCAGTCCCTGTGCTCCTCAGAGTCCGAGCAGGAGTCCAGTCCCTGTGCTCCTCAGAGTCCCAGCAGGAGTCCAGTCCCTGTGCTCCTCAGAGTCCCAGCAGGAGTCCAGTCCCTGTGCTCCTCAGAGTCCCAGCAGGAGGCCAGTCCCTGTGCTCCTCAGAGTCCCAGCAGGAGGCCAGTCCCTGTGCTCCTCAGAGTCCCAGCAGGAGTCCAGTCCCTGTGCTGCTGTCACAGATGTACTTTGGTGCAAGGCCATGGAGAGACTTGTAACAAACTGAGACTTGAGACCAGGACTAATGTGAGAGGACTTCAGGACAGAGACCTGAGACCAGGACTAATGTGAGAGGACTTCAGGACAGAGACCTGAGACCAGGACTAATGTGAGAGGACTTCAGGACAGAGACCTGAGACCAGGACTAATATGAGAGGACCTCAGGACAGAGACCTGAGACCAGGACTAATGTGAGAGGACTTCAGGACAGAGACCTGAGACCAGGACTAATGTGAGAGGACTTCAGGACAGAGACCTGAGACCAGGACTAATGTGAGAGGACTTCAGGACAGAGACCTGAGACCAGGACTAATGTGAGAGGACTTCAGGACAGAGACCTGAGACCAGGACTAATGTGAGAGGACTTCAGGACAGAGACCTGAGACCAGGACTAATATGAGAGGACTTCAGGACAGAGACCTGAGACCAGGACTAATGTGAGAGGACTTCAGGACAGAGACCTGAGACCAGGACTAATGTGAGAGGACTTCAGGACAGAGACCTGAGACCAGGACTAATGTGAGAGGACTTCAGGACAGAGACCTGAGACCAGGACTAATGTGAGAGGACCTCAGGACAGAGACCTGAGACCAGGACTAATGTGAGAGGACTTCAGGACAGAGACCTGAGACCAGGACTAATGTGAGAGGACTTCAGGACAGAGACCTGAGACCAGGACTAATGTGAGAGGACTTCAGGACAGAGACCTGAGACCAGGACTAATGTGAGAGGACTTCAGGACAGAGACCTGAGACCAGGACTAATGTGAGAGGACTTCAGGACAGAGACCTGAGACCAGGACTAATGTGAGAGGACTTCAGGACAGAGACCTGAGACCAGGACTAATGTGGGAGGACTTCAGGACAGAGACCTGAGACCAGGACTAATGTGGGAGGACTTCAGGACAGAGACCTGAGACCAGGACTAATGTGAGAGGACTTCAGGACAGAGACCTGAGACCAGGACTAATGTGAGAGGACTTCAGGACAGAGACCTGAGACCAGGACTAATGTGGGAGGACTTCAGGACAGAGACCTGAGACCAGGACTAATGAGAGAGGACTTCAGGACAGAGACCTGAGACCAGGACTAATGTGAGAGGACTTCAGGACAGAGACCTGAGACCAGGACTAATGTGAGAGGACTTCAGGACAGAGACCTGAGACCAGGACTAATGTGAGAGGACTTCAGGACAGAGACCTGAGACCAGGACTAATGTGAGAGGACTTCAGGACAGAGACCTGAGACCAGGACTAATGTGAGAGGACTTCAGGACAGAGACCTGAGACCAGGACTAATGTGGGAGGACTTCAGGACAGAGACCTGAGACCAGGACTAATGTGAGAGGACTTCAGGACAGAGACCTGAGACCAGGACTAATGTGAGAGGACTTCAGGACAGAGACCTGAGACCAGGACTAATGTGAGAGGACTTCAGGACAGAGACCTGAGACCAGGACTAATGTGGGAGGACTTCAGGACAGAGACCTGAGACCAGGACTAATGTGAGAGGACTTCAGGACAGAGACCTGAGACCAGGACTAATGTGAGAGGACTTCAGGACAGAGACCTGAGACCAGGACTAATGTGAGAGGACTTCAGGACAGAGACCTGAGACCAGGACTAATGTGAGAGGACTTCAGGACAGAGACCTGAGACCAGGACTAATGTGAGAGGACTTCAGGACAGAGACCTGAGACCAGGACTAATGTGAGAGGACTTCAGGACAGAGACCTGAGACCAGGACTAATGTGAGAGGACTTCAGGACAGAGACCTGAGACCAGGACTAATGTGAGAGGACTTCAGGACAGAGACCTGAGACCAGGACTAATGTGAGAGGACTTCAGGACAGAGACCTGAGACCAGGACTAATGTGAGAGGACTTCAGGACAGAGACCTGAGACCAGGACTAATGTGGGAGGACTTCAGGACAGAGACCTGAGACCAGGACTAATGTGAGAGGACTTCAGGACAGAGACCTGAGACCAGGACTAATGTGAGAGGACTTCAGGACAGAGACCTGAGACCAGGACTAATGTGAGAGGACTTCAGGACAGAGACCTGAGACCAGGACTAATGTGAGAGGACTTCAGGACAGAGACCTGAGACCAGGACTAATGTGAGAGGACTTCAGGACAGAGACCTGAGACCAGGACTAATGTGAGAGGACTTCAGGACAGAGACCTGAGACCAGGACTAATGTGAGAGGACTTCAGGACAGAGACCTGAGACCAGGACTAATGTGAGAGGACTTCAGGACAGAGACCTGAGACCAGGACTAATGTGAGAGGACTTCAGGACAGAGACCTGAGACCAGGACTAATGTGAGAGGACTTCAGGACAGAGACCTGAGACCAGGACTAATGTGAGAGGACTTCAGGACAGAGACCTGAGACCAGGACTAATGTGAGAGGACTTCAGGACAGAGACCTGAGACCAGGACTAATGTGGGAGGACTTCAGGACAGAGACCTGAGACCAGGACTAATGTGAGAGGACTTCAGGACAGAGACCTGAGACCAGGACTAATGTGAGAGGACTTCAGGACAGAGACCTGAGACCAGGACTAATGTGAGAGGACTTCAGGACAGAGACCTGAGACCAGGACTAATGTGAGAGGACTTCAGGACAGAGACCTGAGACCAGGACTAATGTGAGAGGACTTCAGGACAGAGACCTGAGACCAGGACTAATGTGAGAGGACTTCAGGACAGAGACCTGAGACCAGGACTAATTGTGAGAGGACTTCAGGACAGAGACCTGAGACCAGGACTAATGTGGGAGGACTTCAGGACAGAGACCTGAGACCAGGACTAATGTGAGAGGACTTCAGGACAGAGACCTGAGACCAGGACTAATGTGAGAGGACTTCAGGACAGAGACCTGAGACCAGGACTAATGTGGGAGGACTTCAGGACAGAGACCTGAGACCAGGACTAATGTGAGAGGACTTCAGGACAGAGACCTGAGACCAGGACTAATGTGGGAGGACTTCAGGACAGAGACCTGAGACCAGGACTAATGTGAGAGGACTTCAGGACAGAGACCTGAGACCAGGACTAATGTGAGAGGACTTCAGGACAGAGACCTGAGACCAGGACTAATGTGAGAGGACTTCAGGACAGAGACCTGAGACCAGGACTAATGTGAGAGGACTTCAGGACAGAGACCTGAGACCAGGACTAATGTGGGAGGACTTCAGGACAGAGACCTGAGACCAGGACTAATGTGAGAGGACTTCAGGACAGAGACCTGAGACCAGGACTAATGTGAGAGGACTTCAGGACAGAGACCTGAGACCAGGACTAATGTGAGAGGACTTCAGGACAGAGACCTGAGACCAGGACTAATGTGGGAGGACTTCAGGACAGAGACCTGAGACCAGGACTAATGTGGGAGGACTTCAGGACAGAGACCTGAGACCAGGATTAATGTGAGAGGACTTCAGGACAGAGACCTGAGACCAGGACTAATGTGAGAGGACTTCAGGACAGAGACCTGAGACCAGGACTAATGTGGGAGGACTTCAGGACAGAGACCTGAGACCAGGACTAATGTGAGAGGACTTCAGGACAGAGACCTGAGACCAGGACTAATGTGGGAGGACTTCAGGACAGAGACCTGAGACCAGGACTAATGTGAGAGGACTTCAGGACAGAGACCTGAGACCAGGACTAATGTGAGAGGACTTCAGGACAGAGACCTGAGACCAGGACTAATGTGAGAGGACTTCAGGACAGAGACCTGAGACCAGGACTAATGTGAGAGGACTTCAGGACAGAGACCTGAGACCAGGACTAATGTGAGAGGACTTCAGGACAGAGACCTGAGACCAGGACTAATGTGAGAGGACTTCAGGACAGAGACCTGAGACCAGGACTAATGTGGGAGGACTTCAGGACAGAGACCTGAGACCTGGACTAATGTGAGAGGACTTCAGGACAGAGACCTGAGACCAGGACTAATGTGAGAGGACTTCAGGACAGAGACCTGAGACCAGGACTAATGTGAGAGGACTTCAGGACAGAGACCTGAGACCAGGACTAATGAATGCAGACACATGTGGAGAACATAAGTTTGGCTCAGACCAGAGCAGTAAAACTGATCTCGTACCTGAGAGGGTCAAGTTCTCCTGAGTCTGATCCGCAGGTTCGGGTCAGGTTCAGGTCAGGTTCAGGTCTACATCAGCTCCGGGACTCTGCTCAGGGGACTCAGTCTGCACCCAGTGCTTTAGGTGTCTGTCCTGGGCCTGGTACACACGGAACACACGGTACACACGGAACACACGGTACACACGCCGAGTGCAGAAGCTAACAACACAAACACCACGT